TCATCAACAAAGAGCAAACCTCTTCCATGGAGTTAGCCCTTGAGGGTTGGAGTATCATCACCATGAGTGGCTAGACATCCTCTTGGGGCTATAGTTAGCCCCAAGTACGCTTTCTATATCTTAATCTTGTGTATTATTGAGGGATTAGTGTTGTAATTGATGTTTTGAGACTTTGATATATATAGATCTTGTTTATTCAATGATTTATGTGACTTAATGCTTCCAATTGGTCATTTCATTCTATACATATGTCTATGTATGCTAGAATAGATGTTCATGTGTTTAGCTCTAGATTTTGTGTTATTGATGCATGTCTATGTGTATTGATGTTATAGATTTAGAGATTGTCAAAACATTGTACTTAAAAGAATGCTTTTGTGATTCTCTTGATGGTTCATGCTTACCTCTTGATGGATTGTGCTTCTCCCCTAGTTTATTTTCATGCTAGTAGTGTAGATGTAGTGTAGTTGCAGTGTAGTGTTAAATGGGAGGACAATCTATGCTTGTTGTTTGATGATCCAAGCTTGTGAATGCAATTAGCATATGTCTCTATCCTTATGTTGTATTTGGATTGTGAGCTTGATGAAAGGATTAATAACTTGTTTTGATTTATTGTGTCTTTCACATGTTGTTTAGACAATATATGCTTCATAACTTAGATATATTGTGCCTTTCACATGATGTTTAGACAATACATGCTTAATTAGTCATCCTTGCTTATTGAATCAACCAAATACACACACACCACTATTGCAACCCACTATTTGCCCTCATTAATCATTTGTCAATGATATAGAAATGCATTGGTTGGTGGTGATCTCTAAACTCCAAGACTCTTCTCTCTCTTACTTACTCTTAATTGCACTCTTTTGCTATTACTTAGTTTAATTTAGTTGCTCTTTAATCAACCAACCAACCAATTGTTTGATCACTCGACCTACTAGCCCTAATAGCGATTCCACAATCAACTCCGACATTGCTCAATCCCCATAATCCCTTAGGACGATCCCTACTCACCCTAGCTATATTTTTTGTGAAGGTAATAGTGGCTTTATAAATGTAACTCTTGGCCCTCGCCTTAATGCACACTCTCAAACGTATGGTGCTTAGACACGTCCATCAGTCATTGACCTAACGCTCGACCTCATGGATCGCTAAAAAGCTTAATAGATTAACACATTGCACTATACTTCCATCTTTGATTCTTAGGGTAGCTAAAAAAAATAAAAAAAAAAAAAAAAAAAAAAATTGAGTGAGAAGAATAAGTGCACCTAAATGAATAAATCTTTAATAAAAGGTGCACTCTTTATCTTGATGATCGGTACTAGATTTGTGTGCTAGTTTAAGGGTAAAGATGTGATCATTTCTTTAGTTAGCTTAAATAGTAACATATTTGATGCCGGTCCACTTAAAAAGGATTATAGAGTTGTTTTGATTTGCATGATCATTGTCTTGATGTGATACTTGCTTGCTTGGTGTTGAAATTTTGGGAGATTGCTTAGAAATGGTTGAAAAACTACATACTTGAATTAGTTTTCTCCCAATGCTTGTTTGCAATATTGGTGCCTCTTTAGTGAGAATGAGCTTAATGTTTGTGGGTATCATTTCTGCAAATCCTCATGAGACTTCACTCGTCCACTAGGGGTAATGTAGGGGTTTAAAAGGCTTGTTGCATATGCTAAATGCAATCATGTTCCCTACGAAAGTGGCGTTATCTATTTATTGTTTTCTACCTCATAATTGTATAGTTGTTTATTTCATTCCTTTACTTCGTAGTTCATCGCTAGGAACTAGCAATATTTAAGTTTGGGGGTGTGATGAGCGCTGAAAAGTGCGTATTTAAACCCCTTAAGCTCGAGTATTCTAGGACCTTTATTTATCTTATTTTTTTATTTTAGACTAATTTCATGTTATTGCCCTTTCCAGGCACTTATCCCCAAAATAAGTCAATTTAGCCAAATTAAAGCATAAAAGAAGCAATCTCAAGCTAAATGGAAGAAAGGAGCAAAGTGGAAGCAAAATGGTGGAAAACAGCAAGTTTCGATTAATCGAACCCCCTCAAGTTCGAAAAAAAATAGAGTCCAACTCATTAAAAGATGGCTCGTGGTGCAATCATTGAAAGGGCCCTAGTGCACGAGACCTGACCATTGGGTGTGACACTTGAGCTACCTATATAAGGATTTTAAGCCATTTTTACATATATGATCTTAGAGATACACAATCTTGGAGAGAGAGGTTAGAGGAGTCTAGAGATTAGAGAGATACACACCATTTGGGAATTGTTCCATTCATTTAGGGTTTCCATCAAGAAGAAGAAGATCATTCCTACCATGGAGATGGCCCTTGAGGGTTGGATGACTACATCAATGAGTGACTAAACATCTTCTTGGGGCCAGAGTTAGCCCTAAGCATGCCTTCTAGATCTTGATGTTTTGTATTTTGGGGGGATTTGTATTGTAATTCATGTCTTGACATTTTATTTATATATGAATCTTGTTTCTACAACGATTTGTGCTGTTTAATACTTCCAATTGATCATTTCATCCTACTCATATGTCTATGTATGCTAAAATAGATGTTCATGTGTTTATCTCTAGGTTTTGTGTTATTGATGCATGTTTATGTGTGTTGATGTTATGAATCTAGAGATTGTCGGGTTATGGTGCTTTAATAGAATATTCTTGTGGTTTGTTTGATGGTTCATACTCATTTCTTGATGGATTGTGACTTTACCTTAGTTTAATTAGTTTAATTTTCATATCCCTAGTTTAGTTGTAGTGTAGTTGCCTTACTTTCTTAGATGGGAGGACAATCCATACTTGTTATTTGATGTTCCATGCTTATGAATGCAAGTAGTATAATTCTCTAACTTGTTAGTGTGTTTTGATTGTGAGCTTAAATGAAGGAATAATGACTTAATTTGATATATTGTGTTATTCATTAGGTTGTCTAGACAATGTATACTTAATTAGTTATCCATGCTTGTTGATTCAATCAATCACACATATTGGTCTTGCAACATATATTTCCCCTCATTCGTTACACATTGAGTGTCTAGAAAGGTGATGTTTAGTGGTGACCTCTAAGCCCAAGATCCTTCTCTCTCATTCTTTACCCTTTATTTACTTTAATTACTTTGTATTGAATTTGTTTAACATTATATTTTAATTAACCAATCAAAACATCTTTAATCACTCAACCTACTAATCCAATGTTGTTTCTATATCAATATTACTTCCTTACCCTTGGGACGATTCCTCCTTACTCTAACTATATTAGTAGTTAGAGGTAGTAGTAACACTTTACAAATTTAAACTTGATCACTATTTAAAACGTTTTAACTGGTTGTCCACGACACACCATTAATCTGATAATGTCAAACCAGGGCCGAGAGAGAGATGATATGACATGCAATGAATTCCTGGAACAAAAACATCACTAAATTCTAGTAAAAAATAAATAAATTAACAAAAGCGATGGATCTTACCAGCTCCTCGTGCAGGAGAAAATGAATCACGGAAAGCACGAACTGTAAATGCATTTATCAAAACTCTTTTCCATGTCAGCATTGTCGTTTCAAAAATCCATCAGTGACCATTTATATAGAAAGAACAAATCTTTTTTAGATATATAATTTTTATTTTTATTTTTATTTTTTTATATCATATTCTTTGTGGTTTGGCAAATGAGGGACAATTCATATCAAAATATATTTATCATACGATCAATGGATAATGAATGTTTGTTATGCTACCAAATAACAAAAAATTAGCATCTGAAACAGAAGTGTAGAGTAATTCAACATCAATGAATGGAAAAAATGCAAGCTAACAGCTACTAACCCCTTCATTAAGGTGAGCGGCGATATTCCCAAGTAGTATAGTGGTGTTCGTTCTAATTGCTGGTTCTTCATCAACCTGCATGACATACAGGTATGAAGAGAAAACTACAAAGCACAAACAATGAAAAACGAAAGAAATAGAAACTTTCTAAAATCAAGTGAGATGTACTATCTGAACCAAAAAACAAAAAAAAAAAAGAAGTAACTTTACATTGAAAGAAAAAGTCAGTAAGTGAAAAATTAAAACTAATTCTAACATAGTTATATTAACAAATGAAACAATGCCATACCTGAAGCTTTGAAAGATACTTCAACAACAAAGATCCTGCCATAGTGCGTTGAGAGAGCTGAAATTAAGTCGAACAAAAACTTTTAAAATAAAATTAAAAATCGAAACAAAAAAAATAAATATGTTCTAGTAAAATAAAGCAAAACAAAGAATCTTTTAACCAGTACATAATGAACAATAGAGACAATCCCGTGAACAATTCATGCAATCAAGATAAAAAAATATAAGACTGTTGATTATATCAATGCATATATTAAGAGGAAAAAATACCAGTAGAAAGGTCAACTACAGTGTCAGCAATACTCTTTCAATTTTTTTTAAAAATTGTTATCAAATACAGAACGTGTCTCAACAGAGCCTTAAATATTAGCATAGGTGAGCTACGAAATCCTATTTCACCATTTGGCTTCAGGTAAGGCCATAGCCACTGCTAAACTATAGGTTGTTACATCTTCTATTGCCTCCTCAACCTATGCTCTTTCTGGTATTTCTCTAGGTTAGAAATACGAGGCATGTGTTGGCAATGTCCTACTCAAAATTCTGGTATGTGTCAAAATGTCATAAGTATACGAGTAACCATTGAAGACAATGCGGAATAGGTAGAAGAAGAACATGGCTAGAAATCTGCATCCTCAATTACATATCTAGGGCACAGGTAATTTAACCTTGGAAAGACCTTGAATGACCAGCTTGATCTTGCAGAGGCCCAAAGTTTTGTTTCAAATGTCCTTTTGAAAAATGGTTTTTCAAAAATAAAGGATTTCAACATATTTTAAAACTATACTACTGAAAAACAGAGAGCATTGATTGCTACCAAAAGAATAAGTGCACCCTAGGAGCTAGAATAAGCATGAACTTGAGCGTCAATTTCCGAAGAAAAGCAGAAGTATCAGAGAACCCTGTAGCAACATGAGGGTAAACCTAGCAGAAAACAAGATCATACATGTTAGAATGTCCAAAGTCAATCATAAACATGTAGAATGTTATTAACTATCATGCCCAAAACAGGAATAGATTGGAACTTCCTCAATCTTAAGAAAGACAGCATAATCATTTAATCACGGACTGCATACTTGCTCATCAACAATTTGGGCTGACAGTGACTCTCCAAGTTGATCAGCATGCTACAGGAGACCAACTCGAATAGCCCGGTCATTTGAGGCAAAAAGTTTAACAACTGTTGGTAGTATCTACAAATGAAAGCAAGGGATTTTGCATTGATCAAGTTAAAGTAAAATAGTAATCATAAAAACATCCAGGAACCCAAAGAGGAGTAGAATGATTGGAATCAATTAGAAATGGAAACATAAAACAAGAAGGCCACCATGTGAATACTTAAAAGACCTTGGCGCTAAATTCTTCAGGTGGGAGCCAAGAACCCATCTTCAAAAGTGCAGTTAATGCGGGGGCAGCAGCAGAACCAAATTCTAAGGCGGAAGCTAATAAAGAAGTAACTGCATAGACCAGAAGATAAACATAGTGAATTTGCCAAAAATTGAAATTGAACGTTTTGCACAAGAAATTTAAGAAGCACCTTTTCAGCACAATTTGCCTCGGAAGCTGCTCTGCTAGACTGGGGAACTTCCGGAAGAATTTCCTTCTCAACGCTGTCCTTCAAGTTAAGAATTTCCATAAAATGTATAGTATCCACCAACTTATTTTGGAAATATTCTGCCAATCCATACTTGGGATATTTTAGTACAAACACAAGCAAAATTATGGGAGAGAAAAGGTAATTGTTGGAAAAAACGAACCTGTGGTATATAGATAAAAAAAAATTGAAAATCACAAAAATAAAAATATAAATAAAAAAATCCACAAATAGCAAGAGGAAAATGAGCATATAAATTCATATGCTGCACTCAGTTAGACAATTTAAGTTATTAATGCAGTTAATTTATAACATAAAATATATGTAATATATGTAAAGAGAAAAATTAAACGAGTAGAACACGCGGCCATTATGTGGTTCAGCAACTAGGGCCAACATCCACGACACGAAGAGCCCAAAGGGCTACATGTCGTTCATTATAATCTCTCTTTTCATACACAATGCAATGGTGGAAGCTCCTCTACATAGGAGAAGAAATTAAGAGAATGGAAAGAGATAGAAAATAGGAAACAAGGAGGATTTTCCCCCCGTGATTCCTCTAGCAACAGTAAATCGTCAATAATAGTAAACAACATAAATTACTCGAGGATTTTTCTGCTACTAATTCCTCCATTACATATTCAATAGATGTTATTGTTGTTGGAAAATGTGCAAGTTTTAAAAACTTTTCGAGGGATTTAAATTCATAGATCTTGATTCATTACATAGAGACAAGTTTTATGCAAAAATAAAATATGATGTATCATTCAATTAATGGATTGAATACTTACATCAAAGGTCTGAATAAACCTTTAAAACTTTCCTCTAAAGTGAATGTTCTCACTTATTGTAAATCCCTTAGCAAGATGCCTTCTCCTTGGATTTCCATCTTCTTGGTAATTATTTTGCCTTTAGGAATCACTCGTAAGCCTCCATGAATTACCTTAGAAAACTAGACTTGTGGGAGCCTCCATTAGATGAGAACATAAACCCTAATTTTCTAGAGAGAGAAAATTTATTCCTTTTTCATTCTCATAAAAATCACCTCCTAAAATATACATAGACCATGTATATTTATAGGTAACATAAAAATAAAGAAAAGGAAACAACAAATCATTCTCAATCTCTAATTCACATGTCTCAAATCTAATATGATTCCAATATTAAGTTGGGCTATGAGTGAGAATCCATTGGGCCTATTATTTTATTGGCTACAATGAATTAATAATTGGCCTGGTCCATGGACCCAATTCAATTAATTCATAAATTAATTTCTACTCCACTAAAAGAAATTAATTGAACTCCAATTAAATAATAAACTCTAAGTCAATATTGCACTTTGACCCCTCTATGTATAATTTGTTATCGGATAAATAAAGCCATCAATCCGACTACTTAATTAATATATTTATTTTGGTACCATTGATTATTTCTGGCTTGATCACAATAAAAACATTTGTTTGACAAAAATAATAATTTAAATAAATATATATATAATAAATCATTTTGTCTAAAAACATACGAAAGCCTTCGAATTTACTTTGTGATCAACCATAATCAATACAAAATAAATACAAGTAGCAATGATGCAAATATTGAAAATATAACCCTCTAACTATTAATCACATAACTACCCAAAGTGTCGGTCTAAGGATCCCGAAGAATCCGCCTATCAAATCAAAGTAATTATTAATTAATAAAAGAGTTTATAATTTTTTCATGCTTAAGAGTTAAATGCCATGACGATGATAGGGAGCAATTGCATACGACGGCTCTTGCAATATATCTCAACTTAATGCGGATCCAATTCAAGTCTTAATTAATTATGAGTCCATCCATAATTACCGACTATGAACAATTTATAATTAATATTTATATATTATGCATTGATTGCCATCACATATATATATATTAATATTTCTCGTAATCATAGGGACACTATCAATTTCATAGTGAATCGAAACATAATACATTGAATTCACCAATTATATAAATCATAAATATTTCAGATATGTCAGGAACATATGTCACTATAATCCAAATAGGAATTTGCTATGCCAGGTCATATAAATCCCAACAGCTCCCACTTGCCCTCATAGCCAATTCAAATTGCACCTAACTCCAATGTTATCCAGATGATGATCAAAATTATTGATCAATGACACCTTTGATAATAAATCAACAAAGTTGTGTTCCAATGCAATGTTCTAACTACAAGTACATTTTCTTGCCGGACAATATCATGTAGAACATGATACTTCCTCTCAATGTATCTTGTTCCTTTATAGAACCTTGGGTCATTGGTTTAGACTACTTCTGCACTATTGTCACAATATAGCTCAATAGGCAGGCTAGTATACTCCACAACCTCTAAATCAGTGAGATCAAACCAATAGGCTTCCTTTGCCACCTTAATGCTGCAATATATTCCACTTGTAGGTTTGAGTCAGCAGTTGAAATCTGCTTAACAATCTACCAACTGATTTCCCTTCCATTAAGTGAACATACACTAAGTCATGAACCTCATAGTATCTACTTCTGATTGAAAATCAGAACTAGCATACCTGACTAGGACCATATCATCACATCCATATATGAGTATGATATTATTAGTTCTTCTTAGGTACTTAATGATATTTTTCACAACAGACCAGTTATCAAGTCCAGGATTGGACTGATACCATCTGACTATCCCTACAATGTAGCGGATGTCCTGTTCGGTATAGACCATGGCATATATGAGACTCCCATATGCCAAAGCATATAGTTCTAGTCTCATTTGCTCAATCTCTTTAGCTAGTCTTAGAAAACTACTTACTAGAGAGAGCAATCCATATCAATTAAGCAAGAACTCATTTTTTGAGTTATGCATACCAAACCTGGTCAAAACTTTATCGATGTAGGATTATTAAGATAAGCCTATTTTCCTTTTAACCTGATCTTGCAAAAGCTTGATCCTAGGAATATAACTTACATATTGAGAATCCTTCATTTAGAAGTAATTGAACAACTACCTTTTATTGATGACAAAACTTCCACGTCATTATAAATGAGTAGGATGTCATCAATATATATAGAATCAGAAAAACAATGACGTTCCCTTGTACACTCATGATTTATGCACTAAGAAATCTTCTGGTATCTTTTTGTAGATTAATTTGCCTTCCATAGGTATCACCCTACTAGAAAGTTCTACAAGATCTCAAAATTTATTAGAATACATAGATTCCAACTCTGATTTCATAGTAATTCGCCAAAATGATCTGTATCCATATCGGTTCACGCTTTTGTGTAGCTTACTGGGTCCAACTCATGTTTAACAGGGATGTCCATAACGGTCTCACCTAAAAACATGATTATGTCGGATTGGATAATTATCCTCCCACTACATCAATGTACCGATGAAGGAATCTGTGTACTAGATGATGCTGACGCATCAATAGGGAATTCATCTATAATTCTAAATCTCTATACTAAGTGTGTTCATATGTGGTACATCTGGTACTCTTACCATATTCTCTAACACTATGCTACTAGGTATGTGATTCATAATATGATTCTCCTATAGATAAACAGTGAGTGTAAACAATCAACTTTTATCATTGAGATCATAAAATAATCCGTCCTAGTGACATTTTAGAGTAACTATCAAATCTATCATGCGTATGATCTGTTTCCAACTTACTTGTCCATATCAAGCGCACATGTGCAAGACTACCCCATATGCGCATGTGATTCAAACTAAGATTTAGTCAAAAACACAGCTCAACGGTATCCTTGAGACAAACTAAGATGGAATGCAGTTCATAATACGCATCAATATCATTAATGCTAAACTCTTAAATAAAAGAGATAATGTGGCATAACTGATCATAGATCTAACCATGTTAAGTGGAATTCTGTTATTCCTATTTGACACCTAAATGCATTTAGCGTCAATTGCGGAAAACTGGTACACAACACCCTCATTGACCATATAGTCTTTGCACTATCCGAAGAAATACTCATATCCTCGATCAGATCGAAGTGTCTTGATAAGTTTACCTAATATGTGCTCCACATCAGTCTTGACCTTCTCAGAATATACCAAGAGTTTAAGACTTGTGTTGCATCAGATAAACTTATCCAAAACGTGAGTAATCTTGCTTGGATGTTCATAAGACCACACGTGTCAGTGTGTACCGACTCCAATTGTCCTTTATATCTATTTCATCTGGCTGATTAAGCCCTAAGAGTTATCTATCCTTCAAAACAAGGTTCACAAGTTTGGTTTAGGCTCCTCTGCCTCACTAGGTAATTAACCTTCTTTGACCAATCTTTGAATCTCATTTTGACTGATTACAACCCAAAAATAGACACTAAAAATACAATGAGTCAGGAATAACAATTTTTCTCTTAACATTCAATCTAGAAGATGCAACATTAGTTTCTACATCCTGCAAATCTTAAGAGTTTGTGATTATAGTATATTAACCATCTTTCAATACACCAGAAGTAATCGCATATCTATTCAATTTTATAAAACCAGTTTTACAAAATAACAACACAGTTTTTATAAACCACAAGTGAAACAAGAATAAGATAACGTCTAACTTCTGTGCATAAAGATAGTTCTCTAATACTAATATCCTCATACTCTCTAATTTCAGATATAATACTCCCACTGACTTAGCTACAACTTTGACATCAGGTCAAATACAAATATATTCCATATCATCGAGGCTTCTGGATTCCTGAAATCCTTGCAAAGAATTGCAAAAATGTTTAATGGCTCCAGAATCTATCCATCAGGAATTAATAGATACAACCACATAACATGGCTCAATGATTAAATA